CACAGGCAATTCTGGCAACAAAGGCAAGACAGGAGGCATCTCAATTCCTGACTTGAAACTGTACTACAAAGCCACAGTAATAAAATCAGCATGGTACTGGCAAAGAAATAGACCTGAGGATCAATGGAACACATTAGAAGATGCAAACACTACTACAAAGGCACTCAGCCACCTGATATTTGACAAAGGGGCTAAATATGTTCACTGGAAAGAAAGATAGCTTCTTTAATAGTGTTGGAAAAATTGACTTTCTATATGCCAAAGACTGAAAATAGACTCATGCCTATCACCATAGACTAAAGTCAAAATGGATCAAGGATCTAAATATTAAAACAGAAACACTAAATCTACTGGAAGACAAAGTAGGTAAAAACCTTGGAGACATAGGGGTAGGGAGAGAATTCATGAAAAAAAAATGCAAACCACACAGAAAATACTTCAAAAAATCAACAACTGGGATGTCATATTACTAAAAAGTTTTTGCATTTCAAAAGAAATCACCAATAAAGTAAAAAGAAAACCCACAGAATGGGAAAGAATTTTAGCCAACAATCTCTCAGACAAAGGACTTATATCCAGAACATATAAAGAGCTGAAAAACATCAAGCCCCCCAAATTCAAAGAACCTCTCCAAAAATGGGCATCAGAGGTGAATATGCATTTATCAGATGAAGATATACAAATGGCAAATAAATACATGAAGAAATGTTCACCATCACTGGTCATTCGAGAAATGCAAATTAAAACAGCATTGAGATTTCATCTCACTCCAGGAAGAATGGCCGCCATCCAGAAATCAACTGATAACAAATGTTGGCAAGGATGCAGGGAAAAAGGAACACTGCTCCACTGTTGGTGGGAGTGCAGACTGGTGCAGCCATTGTGGAAATCAGTGTGAAGATTCCTCAAAAAAGTAGGATTGGAAGTTACATTCAATCCAGCTATTCCCCTCCTGGGTATTTTCCCAGAAAAATTGAAAACATCATGTCACAGAAATATATGTGCACCCATGTTCATAGCAGCACAATTTTTGATGGCTAAATCTTGGGAACAGCCAAAATGCCCATCACCTGCAGAGTGGATGAAAGAAATTAGGTGTTTTTATACAATGGAGTACTACTCAGTTATAAAAAGGATGATCTTGAGGCCTTTATAGATAAATGGAGGCAACTTGAAATATCCTCATAGTGAAATAAACAAGACTCACATGAGCAAATATCACATTGTCTCTCTAATGTAAAAAATAATAAAACTGACAGAATAATGGGATCCAAAAAGTGTAATAGATACTATGAAAGCGAAAGGGAAGGAAAGTGCTCTAAAGAGTATAACGGTACGTATAGTGTGTAATATGGGCATCTGACCATATTACTGAATTTCTGTTGGAACATTGCACAGAAGGATTTTCACTGTCAATGTTTGAGTGTCTAGCCACTATTCATGCTTTGATTTTGTGGCTTTGGCAACTATTTTTTAAGATGGCAATGAGCAATATATACTAGCGATTCTATGATGATAATATTTTTTGAATTCGGTATTGTTCTACCTTTCTTTTTCTGTTTTTCTATTTTCTTTAATTTTCTTTTCTTTCTTTGAAAAAAAGAGAAAAATATGCAATATAACAACCATTGTTAAGTTTCTTTCATTCTGTTTTGAAAACCTATATTGTTATTGAGTTTGCTGTTGTTTATGCCTTTTGTTTTTTGTTTTTCTTTTCTGACTTTTCCCTTTTTAAAACAATATTAAAAAAAAGAAAAAAAAGTTTTTTAGTCCTGACTAGGTGGTAGCAGAGTGGATTCTCCTTTTATCAAGATGGAGACACTTGAGGAATAACACACTTCAGGATAACACATTTTAGGCTGGAACCAGGATTTTGCTTTTGATGTGTGACGTTTGAGGTCTCTGAGAGAGATCGTAGCCAACTGGAAATTGTCTAGAGCTCAGGAGAGGCACAGTGTGGAGGGAAATAAAACCTAGCAGACGTCAGCAAACTCATGGAATTTAGTCTTGAGACAGGACAGGCCCTTAGGAGGAGATCAGACCCAAGTCATGGGTGAGCATCTGGCCCTTCGATGCCTAGAGCCACACTACGGCAGACCTCTCAAATAGTTGTGTCAGCAGATGCAGAAGGGTCCACGTGCTTGATGGACAGCCCTCGCCCACTACACTTTTGGCTCAAAATTTTCAGGCACTGTTTGCGCCATTCTCTTTGGATCTTAGCATCGTCAGACTTGTACTTTCACTATTTGATCTGGTTTAGTCCTAATCACTAGCTACAAATCAGCCACTCTTCTGGAAACTCCAGCTACCTAAAGAACCTGGCCCACATTTTCCACCTTTTAGTGGAGAAAACGGAGGGTCCTATTTTCTTGCTGATGATGAACGGAGAACCTCAAGGCTGTCATGGATGCAACCCTAGTTTGGAGGTGGGAAACTAATTCAGACAGGGGATGTTTATGAGGCAGAATGTGATTTTAGCTGGATACTTAACGTGTGTGTTGGGGACAGATGGAGGGCAAACGAGGACAGAACTGTGGGGTCTTCTGTGGCTGGAATGTGTGAGGGAGGTCAGAGCGGGTGCAGGCTGGGGATGTCAGTATAGGGCACCACCAGCATTGGATCTGGAGTATCCCCCAAAGGCAATAGAGGCTGAAGGCCCCGCGAGAGATGGGGTGTCGTCCACTGTCTTTGGGTCGTACGGGTGGTGGACTGCAGGACTTAGTCCCTTTCTTACTCAGGGCCACAAGATGAGTGTTTCTGCGTCTCCACCCTCCTGTCATACTGAGCAGCCTCACCGCAGGACTGCACAGACAGGGCAACTGATCATGCAGTGGAACCCGCAAAACTGCACACCAAAATAAGCTTTCTGTCCATCAGCTAATGATTTCAGATATTTCCTTATAGTGATGGGAAGATGACTCACATTGGCACTTCATTTTAACAGCCCCCAGGGGACACCCCTTCATCTGGTGACTCAGAACCGCGCCCCTGGGGAGCAGGCCTGGCATCTTCTGGGTCTTCACACTGTGGAGCCCATCACAGCGACCCATCAGCTTCACTGCTGTTCCCTGCCCCTCAGTCCATGAGCTGGCCTCCTGGTCCCTCCTGCAGCATCCTCGGCTAATCTGGCTCTCTGGCTCTCTGTCCTGTCATTTTATAAACTCCTAATCCTGGCTGATCTTATGTGTTATGATGTTGAGGTGTTCATGTTGCAGTGGCTTCTCTGCCAGCAATCTCAATTAGGCCCTTAAAAGCATCTTATTGTGGGGGCTGGGGATTTAGCTCAGTGGCATAAGTGCCTGCCTTCAAGCGTGTGGTTGTGAGTTTGATCCCTGGTACCGATTAAAAAAAAAAAAGTATCTTGTTGTGAAGTCCTGTATCACTTTCATTGTTTTGGTTTGATTGACTTTATTCTGTTGTACTTTGTTTGGTTTTATTCTCTTTAAAATTAAAAAAAAAAAAAAGTTGTTGCCAGTCTCAGCACGGTCTGTTCTTTATACATTATTGGTCACCTTACTGCCTCATCTTTTACTGTGGCCATGCCAAATATTTGTTCCTCTCTCAACTTGTTCAAAGCTTAGAAAATAAAAGGCTTGACTGATTTTCTTTTCTTGCAAACTTGTTTACTTAATTATCTCTTTTCTTTCTTTTTTCTTGTTTTGCTTGAGACAAACAAAATGGTATGGAATTCGGGCTGGCCCTGAACTCACTGAATATCAGTCTGTCCTCTGCCTCACAGGGATGTCCTGTCTCAGCCTCGGAGTGCTAGGATTACAGGTACATGCCATCACACCCAGCTGGTTCATCTAGTTGTCTATTGCTGTGTAATAAGATTATGCCCAAACAGTCGGGTGTGGTCGTGCATGCCTGTAAGCGCAGTACTCTGCAGGTGGAGGCAAGATTGCTGCCAGTTCAAGACCAGCCTAGACTACATAGTGAGCTGAAGTCCAGCCTGAATTACACAGCAGGACCCCCTCTAGAGAAAAACAAAAGCGAAAAATCTGTACATTTATTACCTTAATTCCACAGGCCTGACCACCTCATTGGAGTGGTTTGGTGGGTTGCTTCTCCTTCAGCAAGTCTCTTAAGATTGTAATCAGTCTATTAGCTGGAGCCACACTCATCCCTTTTGCTAAGATCAATCATGTGGGTCAGTACATAGGCTGCTGTCCAATATGGCAGCCAGCTTCCTGCGGCCCAGTGATTGCAGCCCAGTCCTTGTTCTTCCAGCCAAGAAAGAACAAGACCCAGGGCCCCGGCTGGAAGCCATAGTCATTGTAAAGCTTGGTGCTGAGCTGGGGATTTAACCCAGTGGCATAAGCCCCTACCTGGCAAGCGTGAGGTTATGAGTTCGATCCCTGGTACCAGAAAAAAAACCAAAACCCGCTCAAAAAACCTTGATGTAAGAAGAGTGTGCCTAATGTCACTTGTACAGTATTTTACTTGTTAGAAGTGAGTCAGTCATCCTGGCCCCTCTCAGGCGGTCCCCACAATGCAGGTGTCAGGAGGCAGGGAGCACCGGAGCCATCCTGGAAAATGCCTGCCACGGCTTTTGCCCTCCCTTTTGTATTCCCGCTCCCCTCCAGGGCTAGTGCCTCAACAGGAGCAAATGTTTCTTAATCTTTTGGACCAGCTCCTTCCTCAGCCTTAGAGCATGCCCAGTTTCCTTCACCTCGCTGTATGACCTCTGGTCTCTCTTTCCCTGCCCTTCTGCTCGTTTCCAGAATGTGACTTTTAGTTCCCTGCATTTACTACTATCTACACAGCACTGCTCTGCTAAGTCACCAGTCACATGGCTGCCTCTCAATTTTTAAGTCAACTTCTGCATCATCTTTTAAAATTTCACTGTTGCAGTGCTGAGGATTAAATCAGGGCCTCAGATAGGTAAATGCTCTACGGCTGAGCCACACTCCAGCCCTCTGCAGCCAGCCGTTAGCACCCTGTTCAGCTTCTCCCATCTTGCTGACTTCATCTTTCCCACAGCCTCTTTCTTCACTTACCCTGAAATCTGAGATCGCCCAAGCTTTGCCCACGCGCGTAGGCTGTAGTGTGCCTGCACCATGCCCACAGCCTCTGTATGCTGTGACACTGGGTGCAGCTGTGAATCTGATGTGATGGGAGTAACACACTTCTTGACTTTTTGTTTACGTGAACTTCAGTCTGATGCTGAGTCCCCACTGAACTGTCCGGAAATCAATCTCAGTCATTTGTAATGTCCTGTCTTCCATCAGGGCATGCCGAGGTTCGCTCCTGCTGGGAGGCCTGGCTGGGCAAAGCTCTCCCTGAGATGGCGATGGCCCTGCGCCTGTCCAGCGGTTCCTTCTGGTCCAATGGCCTCACCCCGTGGAGCAAATCGTAGCAGAGTTAATGTTCTCAGCCCTGGGGTTCAGTGCTCTGAACTACGTGGATCAGTTGCCCTATTTGGTGACTTGGCGTCTCTGGGCCAGGCCCCACTAGACCCAGTCCTCACAGGGTCTCATCTCTTCTCGTGCAGTACTCACAGCGAGCACCCTAGGGACATCAAGCATAGACTGGTGTCTGTTTTTTATGGTAGAGAAACATCTCAAGAAAGCAACTTTCAGATACCTGGCCCCTTGCTCAGAATACAGGTGCCCAGCAAACGAAACAGCCCCGTCTTGGGAGTTGGGCAGTGGATTTCACTACATTGTCCCCAGTGAGTTTGTAGGAGGCAGAGATCAAAACATTTGCTTTATTACTTTTGTTTTGTTTGAGACAGGGTCCCACGTGGAGTGAGGGCTGGAATTGGACTCATTAGTAGCCCAGGCTGGTCTCAAACTCAAAGGCGACCCTCCCGCCTCGGCCTCCAGGGCTGGGATTATAGGCCTATGCCACCACGCCCAGCCTTTGCTTTATTATGGAGACAATGATCAGAGAGCAGTTGTGGGTCTCCTCGGAACACTGCTCTACAGACGAGCCCACCGGGTGTCCAGGAAGCCACAGGACCCGGTCAGCGCGCTAGGGGCAGATAAGCCGCTCCGGCTGCGGCGCAGGCTCGGTGGGCCGGTGCTGTCTGCGGAACCCCGAGCGCAGGACGCCCCGCTGATGACCCCGATGACCGCCGCAGTGTGAGCCCTGGACTGGCGCCCGGGCTCCTGGGGCTCCTGACCGGCATTTCCCGCGGCCCAGCGGCGCCCTGCCGCCGGTGCGGCTCCGACTGCCTTCCCACCTGCGCTCCGCCCCAGCCGCCGGCCTCCTTCCTCGGCTCCTAGCCGCCCCGCGGAGGAGCCTCCTGGCGGCCCGGGCGCAGCTGCAGCTGCCCCTCCGCAGGTGCGGCTCTGCCCACCCGCAGCTGCCCACCCGCAGCTGCCCACCCTGCCCAAGTGCGCCCTGCGTGCCGCGCGGCCTTTACAGCACCCAGAACCTCCGTGACAAGTGTTTCCTTCTGCGCTGTTTTCCTTTCGACGCCCTCCCTAACTTTTGCCCAGAAAACTCCTACTGACCCGACAACGCGCAGACCTGGGGATCTTTCTCAGCCTCGTCTCGGCCCCAGGTGCAATCAGGAGTCCCTGGGCCGTGCGCTCAGCGGGGCAGCACAGCCTAGATGTTAGTGCCCCACCTTCCTGAAGGCCTTTCAGAACAGGGACAAGGGGCATTCCATTCTCTGTGTTCTAAGAGGAGATCGCGACAACCCACCTGCCTCAGCCTCCGCAGTGCTGGGTTCTAGGCGTGTGTCCCCACACCGGGCTGTCCTCACCAGGACTTGGTGCCCCGCTAACTTAGGGGACTGGTGGCTACTGCATCCCAGCGACCAGGAAATCTCTGCCCTCTCCTCCCCCTTCACCTAGTGACCTGGTTCAGCTCATTGGTTGCAGAATTCGCAGGGAATTTGGTGGTGCTTTCCAGCGGCGGCTCAGGGGAGCAGGCAGAACAGGCCTCTCTGCAGGCGGCCAGTGGGCCCTGCCGGGGAGTGACTGCTTGGTGCAGCCTCAGGGCCTCCTGCGAATCAGACTTCCTGTGCTCAGGAGATCAGATACTGCCTAATCAAGGTCGATTTGTTTCTTTTCTTAATATTTGAAACTACCAAGTACCAGTTGCCATCCAAGTGGGTGGTGTTCAGAAATCCCCTCTCTGCTGGTGTTTGACTTCTTGTGAGTTTCAACAAACCAGTTTATTTGGAAAGAAACTGCACCTAGAGGTTCTCTGAATTGCTGCGAAGCCCTGGTAGGAAGTGACTTGGGACAGTTTTGCCTCAGAGCCACAAGTGGGAGAGGTGAGGGACAGGTGCATCTGGCCGTGGTGGCTCTGGGCCCTCCCGGGGTCTGCTGCCTGTTGACATGGCAGAGTGTCGTGGTGGCGGGTACCTGTTTGGCCGGGCACTGCTCGCTGGCAGACAGTTTGATAAGCAGCCTAACCTGCTGAAATCGCTAAGTGGACTGAAAAACAGTTCAGTGAAGTAAGAATTCATTGAATCCTACACATTTCCTCAAATAAAGCAGCTGTTCTGAGAAGTATGTTTTCAGGAAAGGGCCCAGGGGCAGGGCAAAGGCCACGCGTGTCCACACCACTGCAGAGGAGGGAGATGGAGATCATTACTGTACTCGGACTGGGAAGACAGACCTCGCCTCCTCCCCGGGTCTTTCCATGTGTTTTCGGGAGAGGAGATGCAGGTCATGGTAAGTGCTGTGCACAGCGCATGGCTACACTGTTTCATGGGACAGATGACGTCATTTATTACAAGCGCTTTATTGAACTCTACTATAGGACAGGAACATTTGGATTGCCTGGAATCCATTTAGCAAGTCTTTGCGGTGGATTTTATTATATTCATCTTTTTTTTTAGAAAACTGAGGCCCAGAGAGATGAAATAGGTGTCACAATTCCTCCCAGACTGTGAGAAATAGAGCTGACGCCTGAGCTTGGGGGGTCTGACGGCAGAGTTCTCTGACACTGCACTCCTGTGAGTCTCCTTCACAGAGTAGCAACCCAGAGCTCAACAAGGCTAAATGATTTCTCAAGGTCCCCCAAGTGCTCAGAGATGAGGCAAAGGTGTCTACACAGGTCTGTCTGCCTCAGACTACAGCCTTCTTATACCCGATATGGGGGAGACAGTGCATAGACTAGTTGAAACATAAAATTAAAAAATAAGGCTTCTCACTTTTTATTATTTTTGAAATGCATTATTCTATTTTTTCAAGTCCATTTTATTTTAAGGAGAAAAGAAAAGACAAGAAAAAAATAAGAATTTTTAAACACTTCCTTCAGGGAGCAACGATGGTACATATATTGGTGCATTGTCATCCCAAAATCATTCACCCAGAGCACAAGACTTCTGCATTCAATTGTCCAAAAAATGTCACAAATCTTTCCTTTCAGAACTCAGAGAAATTAGTAGTATAACTATCTTAATTATTTTTTGTATACGTATACATACATTGTTTCTGTCAACTTCTTACGTTATGAGATAACATGATGTTTACACATGTATGTCTTATTTATTTCACTTATGAGTATGGTGTCAAATTGCATCTGTTTACTTACAAAAGTCTCCAGTTTATCCTTCTTTATAGCTGAGTAGTACTCCATCATATAAAAATACCACAACTTTTTTGTCCATTCCTCAGTTGATGGACACTTAAGTTGTTTCCAAGATCTGGCTGTTACAAATTGTGCTGCTATAAACATGGGTGCACATATATCACTGTGATGATGTTTTTAGTTCTTTTGAGAAGATACTAAAAGGGGAATAGCTAGGTTGAACGGAACCTCTAGTCCTAGTTTTTTGAGGAATCCCCATGCTGATTTCCACAGTGAGTGCACCAGTCTACACTCCCACAAGCAGTGGAGAAGAGTTCCTCTTTCCCCACAGCCCTGCCAGATTTGTTATTGCTTGATTTCTTGATAGTAGCCATTCTTTCTGGACTGAGGTGGAGGGTTGTTTTTATTTGCATCTCTTGAATGATCAGTGATGTTGAACTTTTTTTACATACTTATTTGCTGTTTGTATTTCTTCATCTGAGAAGTGTGTAGTCATCTCAAATGCCCATTTTTGGGTTAAATTTGGGAGGACTGTTTTTTTTTTTTTTTAATTCTTTGTTCTTGATATCTGAGGAATTTTGGCAAACTTTGTCTGAGGAGCAGCTGGCAAACATTTTCTCCTGTCTTATGGATTGTGTCTTTACTCTGTTGGTGGTTTCTCTTGCTGTGCAAAAGCTTTTTGATAAGATGAGATCCCAGTTGTTGATTCTTTGAGACATTTCCTGTACAATTGGGGTTTGTTCATAAAGTCTTCACCTACATTTATGTCCTCAAGAGTTTTACCTTCTTTATCTCCCAGCAGATTTCATGCTTCTGTTTTAATATTAAGATCTTTGATACATTCTGATTTTAGTTTAGTGCATGGTGAAAGATAGGGGTCCAGTTTTAATCTTTGGCATGTGTAGAGCCAGTTTTTCCAGCACCGTTTTTTATAGAGGCTGGCTTTCTTCCAGTGAATGTGTTCAGCACTTTTGTCAAAGACACGGTGACTTAGTGTGTCTGGGTTGTTTCTGTGTCTTCTAATCTGATCATTTGATCTTTGGGTCTGGTTGCTGTTATTGTTGTTTTGCTAGTACCACACTGCTTGTGTCACAGTAGCTTTATAGCATACTTTCAAGTCAGGGATTGTGATGCCCCCTGTCTTGTCTTTGTTGCCCAGGATTGCCTTTGTTATTCTAGGTCTCTTCTGGTTCCAGATGAATTTTATGATTGTTTGTCTAGTTCTGTGAACTATACTATTGGAATTTTGATTGGGATTGCATTGAATCTGTATAACAGTTTTGGAATTATGGCCATTTTCACTATATTGGTTCTTCACACCCAAGAACATGGGCTATCTCTCCATTTTCTAATATCCTCTTCAATCTGCTTTTTCATAGTAATGTAGTTTTCAGTGTGGAGGTCTTTTACATCCTTCATTAGATTGATCCCTAGTCCTTTTTTTTTTTTTTTTTTTGGATACTATTATGAAAGGTAATGTTTCCCTGATTTCTTTTTTTTTTTCTTTTTCATTTTTATTGGTACCATGTTTCCCTGATTTCTTTCTCAGTGACTTTATTATTCATGTATAGGAAGGCTATTGATTTTTGAGTATTGACTTTGTAACCAGCTACACTACTGAATTTGCTTATTAAATCTACCAGTAGTGGCTGGGGATTTAGCTCAGTGGCATAAGCACCTGCCTTGCAAGCAGGCAGTTGTGAGTTTGATCTCTGGTACTGATAAAAAGGAAAAAGACAAAAAAAAAAAAATCTACCGGTAGTTTAGTAAGGTTTTGGGGGTCCTCTATGTAGAGTATCATGTCATCTGCAAATAATGATAGTTCAACTTCTTCCTTTCTTATCTTTATTCCTTTTATTTCTCTCTCTTAATTGTGCTGTTCAAGTTTTCCAGGACTGTGTTGAATAAGAGAGGAGACCGCAGACATGCTTGTCTTGTTCCCAATTTTAGAGAGAAAGCTTTCAGTTTTTTCCATTTAGTATGATGCTGGCTCTTGGTTTCTCACCTTTTACCAGATAAATACCATCTATTCCAGTTTTCTGTAAGTTTTGTTTTATCATGAATTGGTGCTGGACTTTGTCAAAAGCTGTTCTCATATATTGAGATGATCATGATTTTTGACTTTGGCCCTGTTAATATGGTGTGTTACGTTTATTGATTTACGTATGTTGAATGATCCCTGCATCCCTGGAGTGAACCCCACTTGATCATAGTGTATAATTTTCTTTATGTTTTGCTTCATTCTGTTTGCCAGTATCTTATTGGGGTTTTTTGCATCTATCTTCATTAGGGACTTTGACCTGTAATTCTTTATCTTGTTTGGTCCTTCTCTGGGTTTGGTATCAGAGCAATGCTTGCTTTCAGGGATGAATTTGAGAATATTGCTTCCCTTTCCATGTCATTAAAGAGTTTGAGAAGTAGTCATGTTGGATCTTCTCCAAATTTCTTGTAGAATTCAGTGACTCCACCAGGGCCTCGGCTTTTCTTCGTTGATGGGTTTTTAATTACATTTGATTTCATTTATTGATTTTAGGTTATTTAGGATTTTTATTTCCCTGATTCAGCTTTGCTAATTCATATGTATCTAGGAATCTGTTTATTTCTTCTGTATTTTCCATCTTATTAGAATTTAAGTTTTCAAAGTAAGTTAGAGGATCTGAATTTCTGCAGGGTCAGTGGTGATTTCACCCTTTTCTTCCTAATTGCATGGATCTGAGGCTTTTTTATAAGGCTGGCTAAGGGTTGTCAATTTTATGTAATCCTCAAGAAACTAACTCGTAGATTCATTGATTCTTTGTATTTTTTAAACCTGCAGTGTGATAATTTCTGCTCTGCTCTTTATAATTTCCTCACATACAAGAGCTTTTGACCTAGCCTGCTCTTCTTTTTCTAGACTTTTGAGGTTTGCCATTAAACTTGCTCTGTTTTCCTGAGATGGGCATTTACTGCTATAAATTTTCCTCTTAAAGATTGCTTTCATTGTGTCCCATAAGTTCTGGTAAGTTGTATTGCTGTTATCGTTCAACTGTAAAAATTGTCTAATTTCTTTTGATTTCATCTGTGACCCGTTGGTTGTTCAGGAGGATGCTATTTAATTTCCATGTGTTTATGAAGTTCTTGTGGTCCCTTTCGCCATGCATTTCCATGTTCAATGCACTGTGGTCTAATACTATGCATGGGATAATTTCAGTCCCTTTGCATTTACTTAAGCGTGTTCTATGGTCCAGTATGTGGTCTCTTTTAGAGAAAGTACCTTGTGCAGCTGAGTAGAATATGTATTCTAGTGTCATGGAGTGGAACACTTTATTGACATCTAAGTCCGTTTGTTCCAAAGTTTCATTCAGTTCTAATATTTCATTATTAACTTTTTGTCTAGATGACCTTTCTTTTTGTGACAGTGGAGTATTGAGATCTCACAGTTTAATTGTATTAGGGCATATTTATG